CACAGGGAAATATGGACACTTCTCCATCTTTCGACGCCTCTATACCTCCTATTTCCCCCGATGCCATGAACATTGATACCCACGAAGTCCCACCACCTGCTTTGGCTTCTGGACCTGTGATTCCCGAGTCTGTTGCACCTATGGGAATGAGCGACGTCAACATGCACCAGGATACTGGGAATGAAGTCTCACTGGATCTCGAGCGAGAGTTCCGCAAACTTCTGGAGCTTTCAGAGAAGCAGCTGATGAACGATCCCTCAGGCGTCTACAGGGAATACATATCTGTTTTAGATGGATACGAGGCGACTGCAGCTTCTCATCGGTCTGAATTACACCATCTAGAGGGTCTTCTAAATGATTGGGGGATGGGGAAAGGAATTCCCGCAACTTATGATAAACTTTCTGCTGACCGAATGTTAAAGGAGGCCACGCACTCAATGGGCGAAGCTCGTGATAAGTTGGAGCAAGCGGAGAAGCAGTACAAGGAGTTCTTGAACAGTGTTCAGGTGGATTGTCGGTCGTCAGCCCTTAGAGAGGTCTTGCAACTCACTCGAGATCAAATGACGACGAAGGGGGTGGGGGTAGTAGAAGCTGGTAAATGGAAGGGGCTGTTTCACTTGGCAGAGGATGAGTTGAGGGAAGTCGACGAGCAGGCGTTATGTGCATTTCGACTTGGAGTATCGAACGTGGAGCCACCACCGAAGAAGAAGATGAAGGGTACACAGAAGGCGAAGAAGGGGAAGGGTGAGAAGGTTGGTAAGGTGGATGATGGTGATAAGAAACCAACAGAGGCTCTTGCCGTACGAGAACGATGGATTGAAATGTCGCCTGAGGAACAGGCGAAGTTGCAAGGTGTGTTGTTGGCGTATGATCATACACATCTGACAACATAAGTGATCTGTTTGCGTAGATGCTGCCGAGGCTGCAATTGATCGCTATCTCACCAGTGGGACTGCCATCGAACCATCCCTAAAGCGCAAGATCCGTGAGATTGTTGACCTTGCGCCTCGAGCTGGCACCACCAGTCGAGAACTAAGCCTCTACATCCTTGAGCGTACGTATCAAATTTGCCGTCACCACAGGCGCTACCGCACAGAGGATAGCTTCGCCAAGCATGACACAGTTATATCGATCGAGGGGGTTGGATACAGGAAGGATTATACGCGTCGTGCTGCGGAGGGCCATTTGGATTGTGGATGCAGTATTGAACTTGCGCTCTTCGATTTTTTTTGGTTCAAAACATGGTCCATGGGATCGTCACACCCCAACGTGACCATCCACGAGGATCTGAAGTGTGATACCATCCCCCCTCGTTTGCGCAGCTTCTTTGCTGAGGCATACAAGTTCATTGGCATGGTGACACTAGATGACCTCTTCGCCTTGAAATGGGGTACAGAGGGATGCCATAATCGTTTAAGGTTATTACAGATTGCACGGATGACTGAATATTTGCAACTACAAGGTGTTTCCGTTCCAGGATTTCAGGGAGAGCAGGAATATGAGGTGGATGCTGGGGTTGTAGCGTATGCAATTTTTGTCCTCAGTAAATTAAAATTTGTCAATTCAAAAATAGAAGGGTATGGTGGGCACCCACCATCACGCATAAATTTTGACCGAACAGTGAATATCCACTGTTAATTTTAGAAATAGAAGGGTATGGTGAGCACACACCGCCACATAAATTTTTACTGGACAGTAAATATCCACCATCAACTTGAGAACTAGAAGTGGATGGTGGGCACCCACCATCATGCACAAAATCTGACCGGACAGTAAATATCCACCATCAACTTCAAAAATAGAAGGGCATGGTGAGCACCCACCGCCACACAAATTTTGACCGGACAGTAGATATCCACTGTCAACTTCAGAAATAGAAGGGATGGTGGGCACCCACCATCATGCACAAATTTTGACTGGACAGTAAATATCCACCATCAACTTCAAAAATAGAAGGGCACAGTGGACACCCACCATCACACACAAATTTTGACTGGACAGTAGATATCCACTGTCAACTTAGAAATAGAAGGGTCTGGTGGGCACCCACCATCAGCACAAATTTTGACTGGACAGTAAATATCCACCATCAACTTCAAAAATAGAAGGGCACAGTGGACACCCACCATCATGCACAAAATCTGACCGGACAGTAAATATCCACCATCAACTTCAAAAATAGAAGGGCACAGTGGACACCCACTGTCACACACAAATTTTGACCGAACAGTAGATATCCACTGTCAACTTCAGAAATAGAAGGGGCATGGTGGGCACCCACCATCACACACAAATTTTGACTGGACAGTAAATATCCACCGTCAACTTCAAAAATAGAAGGGATGGTGGGCACCCACCATCACACATAATTTTGACAGGACAGTAAATATCCACCGTCAACTTTAAAATCAGAAAGAGATGGTGGACACCCACCGTCATGCACAAATTTTGACCGGACAGTAAATATCCACCATCAACCTCAAAAATAGAAGTGCATGGTGGGCTCCCACCGTCACGCACAAATTTTGACCGGACAGTAAATATCCACCATCAACTTCAAAAAATAGAAGGGCATGGTGGGCACCCACTGTCACACACAAAATTTGACTGGTCAGTAAATATCCACTGTCACCTTTAAAAATAGAAGGGCACGGTGGACACCCACCATCACACACAAATTTTGACTGGTCAGTTAATACCCACCGTCAATGTTAGAAATGGAAGGGCATGGTGGGCACGCACAGCCACACACAGATTTTGACTAGTCAGTAAATATCCACCATTCTTTTAAAAATGAGATACAGTGATGGATTTCTTAGAATTTCACTCACAGTAAATATCCACCATATCCACTATATATCTCGTTCTCCGAGCTAATAGTAGATGTCCACCGTATGATTTATAGTCATCACTCATGATAGTCTTGACTGATACCTGCCGGCTGGTATCAAGTTCAACAAAGAACGACGTATCACTTTTTCGAAATACTACATGCAAGCTTTCCGTTATCAACGTATCTCTTGTTAATCTCCTCGTTAGTCCTCAGATGTCAGCGCTTCAGCGTTGACCCTACGTGATCATGCCCAGCACGCCTACTTACCCGTCACTTCCTCGCCCCAATGCGGTGTGCACAGATGACTTCTATCACCCGTTCACGACCTTCCTGTCAACGCGTGATTTTTCGAATATGTATTCCATAAAGCTTTGGGCCCAGCCAGCTACCTCTGCCGTACTTCCTCCTCGTGAAAACCCATGAATTAACATAAGAAGGGTAAGGAGCTCTTTGCTATTTCGCCATCCGTTCTCCCACTCATTATTATGACACCTAGTATCAGGTATTGCAAACCGTGCACTGCGTCTTTACTCAAGATTGGACGATGACGTCTGCGGATCATTCCCGATTTTTGGTGGTCTCTCTCTTACAGAAATCGCGATCTGTATAACCTAGGCATCCAAAGGACGTGGGTGTGCGTTACGAGGAAACGTCCGAGCGCCAGTGGTGAAAAATGATCACCTCCAACGGCGCAACTGCAACGAAACTTGTCCAACCAGCTTCAAACGCCACTCGAAGTTCATCGAGGTGTAGCAGGTGCAGCGGATGTTCACGGACGAGTTCGTCCTATCAAGTGAGTACTACGCCTTTGGCTATTCCTGTATGTTGCCTCAACTGGCAGGTGTCACCGTAAAGCTCTTCCTGCGCAAGCCTGTTGCTTTGTCTAATCCCGAGTTCTCACTGATGCGCTCACATTCCAGCCAAATTTGTATGATGGGCTAGATCTTGACCAAGGTTTCCCTGCCCCGGATTATTTTCCTTTCGTTACCCGAGGTCGGTGGCTGAATGGTGAACAAGCTACACGTTGGTGAAACAGGTTGATGGCTTCTGCGAAGGAAGACTTCATGGAGGCTCGCCGTAGGGAGGTTGCGGTGTGGTCGCCTGAGTACTATACCCAGGCCGAGCAGCCATTGCAATTGCCAATTCTTCTGAAACTCCAGGTTTAGAGGTATGCATGTGTCATTAATACAAGATGCACAAACCCTTTTACTCAAAGAAGTTCCGTGTAGCAGCGAGTCGAAGCGGTTGCGCCTTGCGACGCAGTTTCAGTCGTTCCGGTCTTAGGGCTAGCCATCTCGATTGCGAAAGGGAGTTGGCTGAGCATAGAGTGTAAATGGCTCAAACTCCGCGCGCTCCCATAGTATTGAGTGAAATTTTTGGGGGTGAAGCGGGACATGCTCTCCATTCATAAAATACGTGCTTTATACTAGGCGCTCTAGAGAAGCGCTGGAAGGCGCTTCGCTCGAGTGGGCTCACATGACGACATGTCGGACATAAGTATGACCGGTTGACCATTGACAGGATCATGAGGCGATGCATCTCGGCGCCTCTCATCTTTCTTATCAACCACCATCACCATGAACTTCGCGTACACCAGTAGTAGCAGCAACAGCGTCGGCAATATAGTTGGATTGGATCCGACAGCGGGCGACATTCTGCGAGCCGTCGGCGGAGGTACTGGCGGTCTCCAGGCGCTCGAGATTGTAGCTAAGTCTGAGGATGGTTTTTCGCCGAGCCTGAAGGCAGTTGTCGCCGACACTTTGGCTATCATCAGCATGACTAAGGTCTGTACTGCTGCTTAAGCTAATCTGCTACGTCTATTGAATGGTGAGAAATAGGAATTCAAATCCAATAAGAAAGCCTGGGCTGAGTTTTTGGAGAATCTCATCAGGCAGGTTGAGCGGGGGTTCAGTATAGCTGTCATTATGGGGAGGATCAGGTTCCGCGTCCTTGGCAATCAAGTCTTGAGCATCTCAAAGAGTGTGTGGTTTTGACATATATATCCGTTGCTGATACTGATTGAACGTGGGGGACTCACTAGAGTTTTGAGCTATTTGAAAGAAAGGGTTGCAGATGTTCAACCCACCCAAGGGAGGAGATTTCCCAGTTTCACAGAGGATATGGCATACATAGAGGAGCTCAAGGGCAACTTGAATCTTTCAATGTATGTGAATTTTTTCTGTCATTCAACTAACTTATTGTCACCAAGTTTCAGGCATGTCAAGAAAATCTACATAAAAGTAGTATGTCAACTACTTATCTTCTTTTTTATTCTACTGTAATTGATTTAGCTCTCACAGGGATTGAAACTAAGGAGATTTGTCTACAGGCTGAGGCTACAGTAGCCAGTGAGCTGATTATCCTTCTAATCTTCTCCTTTTTGATTATTCTACATGTACCCTTTTTCCAGTGCATCAAGTAAGTGTTTTGGCAGGAGCACAGGATATTCAGATGGACAATGCTGTGATTATTGCCACAAATATGGTGAGTGAAGATGTTAATATGAAGGTTCATGCTAATGTGCATATGCAGGTCAACTACAATAATAATGGGGAACTTCCATGCAAAATCAATGAGAGGATGGAAGAATCAAAGGTAAGTTGTGTCAATTAATTTTTTCATAACTGATAGCAAATGAATAACTAGAATAATAAATGGTTGAAGGAATTGAAGGCTCCTTCACATAAACAAAGGGAGACATGCATGCCTGGAACTTGTGTGAATGTGCTCAAAGACATCCAAGTGTGGCTTCATGATCTTAACATGCCAAATATTCTCTGGCTATCTGGAAGTCCTGGTTCTGGAAAGACAACAATTGCTTCAACTGTTGTTGCTGACTTTGAATCTTTCTCTGGGCAATTCTTCTTTCACCGTGATCAGGCTGAGTTTTGTGATCCAGACAATCTGTGGAGGCACCTTGCTTTGGATCTTGCACTAGGAAACCATGCTCTAGGGAAATCTATAGCTAAGGCATTAGAGACACAGAAAGCTAACATCAGAGGTCTCAATATTTCCAAACAGTTTGAGCATCTGATTGTCAAACCAGTCCAGGAGGTCTTTCAGAATACTGAAACACCTCTATTGTTGTTATTGATGCTCTTGATGAATGTGACCAATATCAGAAACTTTTACCATCATTGAAATCTTGGTCCTGGCAGCTTCCCAAATTTCTCAAACTGTTCATCACAAGTCGTCACTATCTTGATATTCAGAATTCACTGAATTCTATTAGTTACCCTATCTATCTTCATACTGGAGATAAAGTTTCTGATCACACTTCTGATGACCTTGAGCTTTACTTTACTACAAGATTCTCTGACATGACTGGATTGCAAACATCACTGCATCTGAATTGGCCTGGTCCAGATAAAATTTCTTTTCTTGTAAGAAAGGCTGCAGGCCTCTATATTTGGGCTAAATCTGCAATGGACTTTATTTTGCACCGAGGTGGTGACACGAAAGCAAGGTTGCATGTCATTTGCTCTGACTCTGGGGAAGGTGTTGATGCTATTGACACCTTGTACCAGCACATTGTTTTTGTTGCTTTTCAGGGGTTAAGAGAAGCAGAAAAAAATTCTTTATCATCAGTTTTAGGAGCAATTGTTATTGCAAAGAACCCACTTCGTGCAAGTGATTTTGAACAGCTTTTAGGAGTTCAAGATACAATGTCAATAGTGAGCCAACTGAGCCCAGTGCTGTTAATCAGTAATACTGGCCATGTGCATATCTGTCATCAGTCATTTACAGATTTTCTGTGGTGACCGAGAGCGCTCTAAGGCTTTTTGGGTGGATTCTCAGCAGCATA